GGCCCGGGAATGAGGCGCAGAAGAGAATCTGATCAAATCTACCAAGATTTTCATATGGATGATCTAGGACACTTCTTTGTCATGTACCCTGAAAACTCTCTCCCGCTTTCCATTGTAAACCGCAGTGAAGTAACAGTTGAGGATGATGACGACCTAATCCTGACACGCTTAGAGATTACCTTGAATGGAGTCCAGGATCCCGGATACGAAACCATCTTCTTTGACATAAATCTCCTCCGGACTGACCTAGTCAGTAAACTAGGAGAAGCTGGAGCCATCTCTAGTATTGGTGATGGCAACACTTGCCCTCCTGGTCTTCCGTTTGCCAATGAACTCACTTTGCTAGATGTTAACATCGTAGAAGGACTATCTCTCGCGGATTGGGAAGAAGTGATACGCAGCATCAAATACTGCCATTCAGATGAAGATCCAGTTGGAGGTACCAGAAATGTGTCTTTCAGAATTCAAGATCCAAACGGAGCTTGGAGCAATGTAGTGTACGCCTTTATTGAAGTGATTGCTGATAATGATGCTCCACTGTGCCCAGACACACTGAGTACGTACGAGATCCTTGAAGACGCAAATGTCACAATCCCTGGCCTTAGTAGGTGCTTTGACTACGAGGAAAATCTCAACCAGACATCAGTTGTAATCCACAGAGCTCCAACGCTTGGGTCTGCACAAGTACAGTCCTCTGGCGACATTTTGTACACACCGTTCTTCAACCTCTATGGAAATGACTCGTTTGCTTACGTTGTTTGTGACAGTTTGGGTATTTGCTCTGAGGTACAAAGTGTATCTATCGCAATAGCCTCAGTGAATGATCCTCCGTACCCCGAGGACAATCTTGTGTTGAATATCATGGAGGACACTCGTCCTCTGGTAGACCTTAGCCAGTTTTTCGGTGACTACGAAGACGATTTGATTCCTCAATCCACCTTCCCTGAAGTGCGGATTGCAACAGAATTTACCATTGGCTCACTGACCCAAAACAGCAGTACAGCATTCTACTTTGATCCCATGCTAAACTATGTGGGTGAAGGCAGGGTTCAGCTTACAGTCTGTGACAGTGAGAATGTATGTGTGTCTATATTGGTGCGGGTTGTTGTTCTTCCTGTTAACGATCTCCCAATCTTTGAGACGCCTCCTGAGGGCTCAGAAGAGCTGGTAACTGTCGAGGACACACCTCTAAGGATTGAAATATCGGTCTTCGATGTTGAGGACAGATCAGAACTGAATGTCAGTTTTGCATCGGCACCAAATGGGACTGGGTTTGCAGATCGTACAAACATAACATTCGACTTGGTTCCTAGCTCTGGAGCATCTGACTACTTCAAGCAAACGATGCACATAGTGTACATTCCGAACAAGAACTTTGACGGTACTGACTATGTGACCGTAGCAGCTGTGGACAGTGAGGGAGGATACAATGAAACAACCATTCCGGTAGAAGTCCAATACATCAACGATCCACCTGAGTTTGGACTAACGCAACTGCTGGTTGTCGAGGATAAAGTCACTGAATTTGAGCTCCCTTCAGCACTCCAAATCACTGATCCTGAGCAAGAACTACATGCCGGGTCTTTCTCAATCATCGAACCTCCGAGTCTTGGAAGTATCACCTACACATTCAACGAAACCCATCTCACAGCTACTGGAAGCTATCCAAGTGTGGGCTACCTCACATACCATCCTCCAGAGCACTACTTCACTTCTGAAAACGAGACCATACCGTTTCTTCTGGAAGTGTGTGACAATGATACTTTGATGGCTCCACTCTGCACCGTTCGCGAGGTACACATTGTAATCCTGTCTGTCAACGATGCCCCCCACCTCCCAGTGGTGCTCCAGTCTGTCTACGAAGATCGCATCCTTACCTTCAACCTCTCCGACTATACATCAGATGTTGAAGATGGAAAACCATCACTGGACAATATATTTCTCACCGATCCTTACCCTACTAGAGGTGTGGCTGTGTATGACAACACTACTGGGTTCCTTACATACACGCCTTTCTTCAATACATTCGGAGAGGACATTGTCCACTATAATGCATGTGATAGTGAAAACCACTGTAGCACAATAAAGGGACAGGTCGTAGTGGATATACTCCAAGTCAACGATCCACCGACATCAGAGGATTTCTTGCACATTGCAATAGAGGACGATTTTGACTTGATTGGATTTGAAGAGCACATTGATGACAATGAAACAAGCATACTGGGTCTAAGATTGGGAATAAGAGGTGATGACTACAGTGAAACTAGCGAGTATTTGAATAGGTGGGTGACGCCCACTGGAGGCTCACTGCGAGTCTATCATGCACACCAGATCATTACCTACGAGCCGCCACTGGAGTTTGTAGGCACCGACAGCTTCACATACTCTGTGTGCGATTTGTGCGACAGTCGAGGGACGAAGAGCTCGGGGAGAGTCGACCAAGAGCCACACTGTGCTCGCCAGGTCGAAGAAAATGGCGGAAGTCATCTCTTTGAAGGCTCAGACGTTTTCATCACCTGCTCGGAGGCACTGTTACAGTGAGAATAACCAACATCAACGATGTACCACAAGCAAGGATATATCAGGGACCACTCAAACCAGACAGACGTTTATTTTCTCTCCACTTCTAGACTCCCTGAGGATGATTCCAGCAGAACTCGGCACAGGGTATCTCTATTCGGATCCGACTGCCGCAATATTTGATTCCGATGACCTGCAGACACTGAGAGTGCTAGAGAGAGGGGATAATTTAACTCTTTTCAACCTTGAATCTACCACCGACATAGATGAGATGTCCCTAGTCCTCAAGTCCCAGCCCACCAATGGAATAGCTGTCACTACCATCGTCGACGGGAGAATTCAAATTGAGTACACTCCAAATGATGATTTCGAGGGTGGATACGATGAAGTTGTGTATGAAATATGTGACATAATGAGAGAAGACGCTCCACCCAGATGTGCAGAAGCAGATGCTAGAGTATTTGTTACCCGTGAAGGCCCCAGCATAACGTCGGTCGCAGCACATGGGTTCACAATAGATAACATTCTCTATTCGGACTCCAAAGTGTCGGCTGGCGATGTCATCACTATAGGATTCTCAGACGACACAAACATGCCACCCTATGGAAACACGGAGTCAATTTTATCAAGATCAGATATTAACGAAATGTTTCGAGTTTTCAGATCCACATATCCTTGCTGCCATTGCTCCTAATGGATACACAGGGCAGTGGGACTCACCCACTCAACTCAATATTACACTAAATGATGTTGGATATCCTCAGCCATTTGTCTTCAATGCATCCTCTAGGGACTACTATGAGCTAAGAACAGGCGAGTGGACCATCAACCTACGTCCCCATCCCGGACCATGTGGAGGGTTTGATATTGATGGTCAACCTGTAGTAGTGGATCGATCTTGTTTGCTAAGTGCAGATGAAACTGCCCAGCCAGTCATTTTCACTTCTCCGGCATTGACCGGTAACTTTGGTCTCAGAATGCCAGAGCTCCAGACGGTGCTTCTGGAGAGTATTGCTCTGGATGTCGCTATTCTCGATACCAACAACATTGAGGAGATATTCTTAAGCACACACATTATTCTTCGTCTGATTGAGCCGCTGTCTTATGCTCAGCTGCAACTGTATTGCAGCAGTGATCCAAACGACATTCTGAACACCGATGCACTTGCAGAATCTATTACTCTGATTGTTGATGGATGTGCAAATATTCTTCCAGATGGGTCAAATGCCGACCAATATCATGCCGAGAACCTTAACTTGATAACTGATACGTTCTCAGTGAGCAAAAGGAAGAGATCAGTAGAACAAGTCAGGGAAAGGAGGCAAATACAGAGCATTCAGCCTGTACAATCAGAGATTATTCTCCAGATTCTGTCAATTGAAAACCCTAGGATAAACCCAATAGAAGAACCTGGTCTTTTCTACAGGACAGTGGCAGAGAGCTTGAACTACGACACGATAGCCTCTGTCATCTCTCGAACAATGGGCATACCTCTGGAAGCGCTGGTGCGTTTCAAGAGCACATCAGCACCTCTTGTAAATCCCGATGACGGCTTTTTCTACTATGCACATGAGGAAGATCTCACTCCAGAGATAGTGCATGTGGTAGCTGATGATCCCGACAATTCAGACCAAGTCTACGGAGGTGGGGATACCATCACAATCACCTTCAACGCAGATACTGACACACCTCCTGTTGGCACAAAAAATGGCCTGGACAGGATCTTTGTTTTTGACCCACCACTTGGGACTAACTATGAAGGAAAGTGGCTAGACCCTAGAACTCTTGAGATCACGATCTTACAAATCGATGCTGCATCAACCAACTACCCATCAGCTGCTGTGCCAGGCCCGGTGCGGTTCAGCCTCAGTTTCATGCCAAACTACCTGCACACTGGTGATCCCGTGACCTCAGACAATGAAAACTTCCCAACGACTGTTCCTTCGTGTATTGGTGTTAACGTGTGTGGCTCAAGTACCGCCGATGACAGCAGTGTCCAGTCTGTTGGTATCTGTGACACCACGCAGAGATCATGCAGAGCACACGAAACCTGGACAAGTCTCGACGGAGATTTTGGAACTGGTAGTCCCGAGCCAACTGCTCCCTTCCCCTGGTGGTACATACTCATTGCTATAATCGTGGTAATCCTCATTGCCGTGACGGTGGTCGTGTTTTACTTCATGTGGAGAAACCACTCACGGCGGGCTCAAGCAAAGGAGGCACGCAGAGTGCTCAGTCGATGGAAAGAAGACAGAGGTGCCCCCGGGAAAGATGACAGGAAAGTTGAATCTCCAAAGCCCTGGCAAGGACCACCAGCCCCTGCAGTGATGCGGTCTCTACCTGATCCGTTTGCCAAGGATGGGCCAATGGGGAAATTGCCTGATGTTGTGCGACCTCCTACAGCCATAACAGGTATGTGTTTGTCTGAAAGCTACCGATTGTTCTGTTATGAAGGAATACCAAGTATTTGGCATGAAAGTAGCATTTGACATTCCTCTATGAAACCGTGCAGTAGTTTAGAGATAGAGCTCCTTACTTAGTCACAATGTGGCAGCGCATAACTGTTGAGTTATCTACCAGTAGTAATATTTTTCTCAACTCACAGAGGTGGAGAATCTTCCTCCCATTCCCCAACCCCCACGCCCACGCTCCAATTTCATACCTCGAACTCCAGCCAGAATCTATCCTGCTCCACTAAGTTTGCAGTCAGTCCCTCCTACCCCTCGGTCTCGAACTCTCAGCTCTCCTGCAACTCTTCAACAACTGGTAAGACAAGAGAGCGTTGGCAACTAATTTTTTTGGCAACAGCCCCAGCAGCCCTATATAGCAGCTGAGCATGTCAGTAGTGTCCAACTGTGCACCCACAATATGCAAGATACTTGTATTATATCATTGTGTTAGCAGCTGAGCATCTCAGTGATGTTACCCCAGACATATCACTGTGTACTGTTGATAACCCACACTATGTAATAACATTGTGTTTTTGCAGGGTCTTCCACCACTGACAAAGATGCCCTCACAGCAAGAGACTCCAAACCGTCTCGATCGCCGGTCTGTTTTGCCTCCTGTCAAGGGAGGGCTAGTGTCCCTGCAAGCCAGCAGAGCTCTGGCTACAGAGCAGGACACTTTTGGCCCGACCGGTGCAGCCATGCCCGACCGCCCTTCCAGGCTGCTGCCATTAGGTGGGGCTGGCCTCTTTGGACCGACAAAAATGCCTGATAAGCCACTACATTTGGCTCCAATAGGACGACCAGAGATTGGAAAAGGAAAGGCACCTGCTGGAGTGAGGCCATTGCTCAAAAAAGGAGCTCTGCAATCTTCAGGGGAAGAAGGTATGAATGGTGACACTGAGCCAAACCTTCCTACCCTTCCTACACCACTGAGGCCCCTTCCGAAACAGCCACTACCAGGTATAGGGGGTAGCCCACCAAGACCATCAATTGGAGGCCAAATACGACCACTGCCGGGGATCGGGAGTCCACCAAAACCTCTACCAGGGGTTGGAAGCCCCCCAAAACCACTGCCAGCGATCAGTATGCGCACTCCACTACCGAGTCTTACGTCTCCAACCACTAGCATGCCTCGGCGCAAGATAGCTCCAGATCCCTTCACGACCGGTCTTACTGGGACAACTGGCCTAGGTAGCCATGCTAAGATGACTCCGGCCCCCCTCAACTTCCCACCTCCTCGACTGAGTCTGTCATCCATGAGACCACCAGGGGGAGTCAACACCGTCGGACCACTCTCACCCGTATCCCCACCAGGGGCCAAACTTCCCAAAACATTACCGTCAGCTGCTAAACCACCCGAAGCATCACCAAAACCACCAGCTTCAACAGAGACCAGTCCACCAGTTGCTCCACAGGCTGACTCAAAGGTACCTCCACCTCGAGATGATGCTAATACTGGCGGAGAGCAAAACTGAACAACGGACACAACTGTAATGTAGTATATAGTGAAATAAACAGTAAAAGTGATTGTATATACAATGTAGATTTTTAAGTTTGAGATGTGCTTTATAATAATTATGATGATGTATAGAGACAAATTGACAGACATAAGGGCACAAAGCTCGGAACATTGACACGTTTTTGTGTTCAGAAGTGACAGAACACATGCGCATGGATGAACAGCATGCTATAGAGTGGATGGATTTATGTATCAAGCTCTTCGTAGTCTGAAAGAACATGAGCAGTGTTAGAACGTGGGTGGCGAGAGAGCTCCATGGCTTCGGCGTACTCTGAACTAGCAGGCACTTTCACTGGTTCACCGGGTTCCTCCAACACCATATAAAGTGGCAGGACACCTTCAGGAGGAGTGGTAGCACCGTTACTATAAGATTCCGGTGCACCACTTTCAAGAATGTGGTACAGAGGGGGTTGCTTTGCTGCTTTTAGGGAATCGGCAGGTTCACTGTACTGATCCTCTGGGCCAGAAAAACTGTGTGAGGTTGATCGAAGACTTTGCTTTGTTGGAGTGTTTGGTGATATGGGGGTCGAAGTGCTATGAAAACTCGCCTGACGATCTTGTATGACCATGTAGCAGGGAGAAGGCACACGTTCAAAGTTCTTTTTGTCCGTGTTTCTATCCTGTTTGTACGAGTTGGAGAGTTCAACCGGATTCAAATACTGGCTTGACGAGAGCTGAGTACCGGAATTGCGTCGCTGTGGGTAGTCGACAATCGAGGAGTAGTGATCAGTTTCACTGTACAGTGGGTTGGTGAACTGCTGCTGCTGCTGAAGCTCAGTGCTGGGGTCAGAGATTTGGTTGGAATCTGGCGAACTTGAGGGTTGCTGGTTGGAGTTTGACACAGTGCGACTGCTTGCAGTCTGGACATCCGTGTACACGTTTGAAGCGTCTGGGTCTCGAGGCATCTTTCCTACACAGAACAAAAAAACTTTGAACATGTCCCTTTTCCCTGAATAGCTACAAGGTCCATGCATTTTTCTGATACCAACTATGAAGCATCTCTCCCCAAATTACTCACTTCTGTTCGGTAGGCAATCCTTCTTCATTGCACAGAGGAGTACGCAGAGAATGACACTAATCACAACCAGACCTCCCAGCACACACCCCACTATCACTGGTAGAGTCGGCAGGCTATGGTTGGACTCTGACACTGCAGAACAGAGTATGGGTCAGGAGAACTTGTAGCCAAAGAGTGAGGTACTCAGGCTCACCAGCAGTTGGCTCTGCAGTAGAGCTCTCTGATGGTCTAGTAATGTTTGTGGAATTTGGAACTTGTACAACTGCTGGTTTGGATACATTAGGCACATAGTAACTGTTATCGCGAAACTAGCAAACTGCAGCATCAAAACGTGCATGTGAGGCTAGATATGACCATAAATGGGAACTATTGTTCTTATACGAGAAAACTGTAAAGTGATACAGCACTGATGCTGGCAAGCCGACAAAGTGCAACAGATAAATTACAGGCCCCCCTACACAGAACATTCTTGACAAGTAATACATAATGCTGTACAGGTATCAGTGTAGATTTGTGTGTGTTGGCTTATGTGGTTTCTGTTGCATGGAGACTGCCAAGGGAACAGTATAAGCAGAGCGACATCAACTGCCAAGGTAAATTATCAGCCAATCACAGTGTCATACAACAGGACCAATGGAAAAACATTGCAAATGGAAATAGCAAGGCTGACTGCCAAAAAGGAGTGTGTATTGTGCAGGCCTTTCATCATCAAAACATGTGGGAGAGTACGATTACCCACACACCTTCTTAATGTCTTCTATTCATTCTGATACAGGCCCAGCTGTACAGACTGAATGTTAGTTATTGCACACCGGGGTTTGTCAAATTATGACCTACAATAATTGCTTACAACATACCCGAGTTCGTTCTCACCGTTGATGTATAGCTACTTTATGCAGAATTTGATTACGTATGTTGATCAGTTGAAATGCTCACCTGTTGGTGTATCGCAGTGTGATCCATTGTAGTCTTTAGTACACTCGCAGCTATAGGCATTGGGGCCGCTATTGATGCATGTGGCACCGTTTTGACACGGAGCCAAGTGAGCACACATGTCGAGATCATCGGTGCAGTTTACTCCACCGTAGCCATCGTGACAGGAGCAGTTGTAAGTGTTTCCAGTCCCGCTGATACATTCCCCTCTATTCCCACAGAGGATATCACTGCACGACACATTGTCTGGAAGAGAGCGTAACAAGTGGGTGAGAGGAAATGCCTAGGAATACATTTTTCAACTTAATGCGAGAGGCTAAGTGGTGATAATCTATGTGTGGGGAAGAGAATTTCAATATTCTCTGATGTTTGGATGGAGACCTGTAAGGGCTGAATAGTCTAGTCCAGAGGCATTATCTGCTGTGTTCATTGGACTATTGGCATATATGTGGTGTTGACAGGCACTAGGCTTTGCAGTACATTGCGTCAATAGTTATGCTTGCCAATATATCATGTTATACCCAGCAAGCTACCTAATTTTTCATTCCTACTGCATTAAAATTTGTCACTGAATAGGTAATTGCAGCAAAACGCTTCGTAACCAAGACAGTGCTTGGTAATTACCCTCGTAGTAGTGTTCACACATGGGTCCAAAGTAGTTTGTGGGGCAGTGGCACTCGTAGACGTTGGGTCCCAGATTAATGCACGTACCCCTCAGACAAGGCGTGGTGTGTCCACACACATCCATATCTAAGGAGAACCAATGGAGACCCTTGTACATGTACGGCCATTAGAGAGTTATGGTATAAGAAGTAAGGCACTTTTGTTGGGATGTCGGGTGTGTTAATGTAGCTACCTTGCTGGCACATTGGCCCACTGTATCCTACACGGCAGAAGCAGTCATTTGGTTCAACACAGTATGCATTCTGCAGTGCTGAAAAGAAGGAGAATAATTAGGCATCAATTGGATTTTATAAGGAAGATTTTACAGTCAATAGTTGCTACATTGCTGCCCAAAGCATCCGCAAGCCGGCATCCGTGGTCAAAGCATTCTTATTTATTTTGCTAGGACCTTTGAATCCATTACCCAACCATTTCACCAGGGAACAGAGTTTTCCAGTGAATGTTGGCAACTATTTGAGAAACTAATTTAAGTAGGGATTCAAAATGTGATATCTCACTGCACTTTCCATTGACCTAATCATGGCTCTCTGTACACAAATGCACACGTGTGTCCAGTCCATCAAAGTGTTTGAATGCACACCCGCCATACGTATCTCTACGACATCACTGAGCTACGTACTGCACGATTCAACTCATCTGCAGCAATTACAGTTTAAAGGCTCCAGAGATTGCAATGTTGGCAAGGCGGGCTGTGTTTTACTGGAAGTCGACTACTTAGTCAGGCCCTCCATCTAATACATTGAACCGCAAATATGGTCTGGACTTACTGCAGCCACTTGCTGTGGCACATGCAGTGCAGTTGGTGGAAGGGAAGGAGTATCCAGAGCGACACACTTTCTTCCCAGTGTCTTGATCACATTCGTAATGACCCAGTTCATTGCTGTCTTGAGGTGCACAGTAGGTGGAGCAGTTTGGCTGGTAGTAGTTGTCGGTACACGAGAGGTTAAACCGAGCCACTACATTTCCTTTGTTACCAACGCCGGTGTAGGTCCTAAATTCAGTGGTGGTTCCTGGAGCAAGGCTCTCTTGAAGTCGAAAGTGGTCAATTAGCTGTCTGCTGGAGCCGTTATCATGTACAGCACGTATGAACAGCTGCATGCCACCCTATAATGGTACGAAGGAGTAGCAAGTTGTATATACAACTTGGCCTTACTCAAGAAATTCTTATCATGGTGCAATTCTTACTGTGTGCAACATGAGTGCATGCAGCTAACAAAAGCCTAATGTGGTATTAATAAAGTCCATGCAGCAAATTGGGTATTTGATGCAATTCCTACACATGGCAGTTTAAAATTGTGTGCAACTTTCTACTTATGATAACTTACTGGCCAGATATCTCCTGCTATTGTAAGTGGATTATTCAGAGGATTCTGAGGATTTTTTGAAGGCAGTGGCGCAAGAGGAAAATTGATACTATCATTATTGCCGTACACAATGGTAGACCCTCGTGAAAAGCAGGCATTTTCATGGATAGACGTGCTTGTGGACGAATAGCTCTTCCAACAAAAGACAAACGCCACGTCACACAATTCCACACAGGTTGGCTCTGTGTTGGCCCCTTCACAGCAGTCTCCAGTGGCTAGTCTGTGCTGAGGGTTTGAGAAGCTTTGCAGCTCCACTTGCAGGTCATAGTCAGCTCTACCCAGGTGGACCTGAATTACATAACATGCAAGTAGATATAATGTACACATAGGTCTTACACTTACAGAGGCCCAAACGTTACTAACAGCATGCACAAGCTTACCAGAATGGTTTCCAGCAAGAGCCATTTCATGACACTGCAGGCCATACTGAGATCTATTCCTGAGTCACACGAGCAGGGTTTCAGATGCACTTTTGCTACTTTGCAGCTCTTTGTGCTGATTCAGACTACGACTGGAAGTCTGGCTGGAACCGGGCCTTTTATAGTGCACGAATACCACATGCCAAATAGGCACTTGAAAGACTATCCACGTACAGAGTACAGAGTAGTGCTCGTGTTTATGGACACATGTGCAGCTGGACGCTGCCCACATCATATGAATACACATCATGTGGTGCAGCTTAAGCTTTTGAAAGTCGATTGCCTCTAGATCTTACCCAAAGAAGGCTTAAGCTGCAGATGTGGACTGGAGTAGCAGACCAATGTATGGGTTCTGTTAATCAGTTGTGAGTGACACAAAGCGATAGGGGAAGGACATCGCAACCAATACTCGTGGGCAGCAGAGTACTCTAAAATGTGCCTATAAACTAGAAACATGTCTATATTGTACATGTACGTCCGTTTACAGAAGCGTAATCATTTTGCAAGGAGCAAAACACATCGATAATACAAAAGCATGGCACAATAATAAAATATGAAACAGTAACATTGTTCAAAGTCAGCAGTTGATAACTCTTGGGTTTTTAATAGATGGGTACTGGTTTCTCAGTGCTAGCTGAACTCCTTGTTGTGAAACTTGGCTACCTGCAAGAGAACAAGACAAAGGTGAATGTAACAGAGTGGCCACTGTAAATAGAATACGCACGGGCTGAAAGGCAGGCTTGGCAGCACAGTAGGTTGCAAGACTAAAGAATGTTATATACCACAAGGTTACCACAGTCTACCAGGTTTCGTTAATCTTTTCCAAACACAATCTAAATGAACCACCAAGACAAAACAAACTTCACTATTTTATACGCATAATAATTATATACACGTAATTTTAGCACTTTGATATGAGCGATGATTTTTGCACATGCACGCATCGGTACCACAAATAGCTACGACGGGGGACATTTGTGGCCAAATAGCGTTCAATTAAGGGCAATGAAAAATGTATGTGGATCTGCCAAACCTGCTTCTTGATCCTGTTGCAGGCTGATTGTGAGCCGTCACAGTTTTCGGGGCTGTACGGTGGAGATATCCGCACGTCCTTGAGGACCACTATCACGTCCTTGTCCCACTCAATGTCGTTATACCTGCACACAGTCAAGAGTGTGTCGCTACATCAATCACCTTCTCGAGAAATTTGTACAAATTCGTTTTCGGGCGTTTGACTTAACACGGCACTTTTTCATTTTAACGGAAATTGGACATGTGAGTGAGAAGTGGGAAGGTTTGCCCTGAACAGGTAGTTTTGAGGAGAGACACATAAAGGATTGGTCTGAACATACAGTGGGAGAGACTGAGAGTGAATGGAGCTGGTTTAGGGTAAGCGAGTCACTACAATAGTAGGCAGTGGCCCACACTGTGACCTATATAACTTTCAGGCAGGAAAGTGACGCACACTATACTGTAAGTGAATGTGAGTGTGCGAGTGTGTGTGTGTGTGTGTGCAGTTCGTTTTCATGCACAGTGGGCAAAATAACATCGACAACACTGCTCTCACTCATGATACAACATACTCACAAGTATCCAAGACTTTTCTGAGTTCTTTTGACTATCGTTAGCTAATACACATCCATAGGCTGCTGCTATACATCTAGCTGAATGCTTCAAAGTTGGCAGAAGAAGCTCTACGCATTGTTCACTACTGGGCAAAGAAACTTCGACCAATCAGATTGTAACATTATAAACCAGATCTCTCTCTCCCCTAACGCTACAGAAACACCAGCTGTATATACACACTCCTAACTAGCTTCACCAACCAACAAAGTATGTAGTCTGCAGTCAAAAACTACTTACTCTAGAAACACACAAATATTATAGTACCGACTCACATTTTACTGATGTAGTTGAAGAGCTGTTGAGCTTGGTTGGTGACGTCTACCCTCGTGACCGTATTTCCCTCCGCTTGGCTTCGATGTTTGTCTGTAGCCGTCTACGTATCCTCTCTGTATCCAGCCTCGGCAGCTTCGTGTAGCTGGTGGGCGGGGCCAAGGGTTCGAAGGTCACCTCTAGTTTCGTGACATGTCTAAGATTGACGATGTGGACATTGCGGATGTCGCTAGCAGTTGGTAGAGACTCAGCGGAAGAGGCCTCTTCTTTGATCAAGAGTTAGGTTTCACACCCTGATATCTCCAATAGATACACAGAACTGGGTGATAGTTTGTAGTTCTTTCGAGGACTAGGCTTTCTATGGGTACCTGATAATTGGCAAAGGGCCTGCTTCAGGGTTTATAGATTCAGAGTTATGTCACTTTACACCCCAACGTCCACAATACTCAGTGAACAGTACGGTGAGTAGGCTTTCTGATAAAATTTAGCAAAGGCAGGGCTTAAGCAGACACATATTGCACCTGGACTAAGAACTCTAGAACCAACCAACGGGGGACACCTTTACATGCATCCACACATACAAGGAGGTAAGTAACGAAGGATACTGATCACAATAAGGTTTTCTTTCTCATCATGAGCTACCAGGTTTCCCCGAAAAGTATCTCCCTGTTTCGTGGTACAGCTCAGTTCACATCCCAGCGTCAGTCTCCGCGTCAACTGGACTCCTCCGTCTTCATGGTTTGTCACTAATGCCTCCTGCGCCATTGGTATTCTAAATGAAGCGCACTTATCAATACTACGCATGCGCAGTATGACTGTTAAAATATGCTGACGTTGCAGAATTCAAATTTTGCCGCGCGACGATCGACGTTCGCGTTTGTTTTGTCTGTGGTGTGGACTGATCTCTCTTTTCTCTTGCGAGGACGCGAAAACATGGCTGCCAACACTTCAATTGTGGCTCTCTTCGACGACATTGTGGCCTCGACCAACATTCTAACTGCCGGGAGCGAGGGAAGTAAGTCTCTGGCCGCCAAAGATGTTTTGCGTGGACAGCTGCATGTTCTGCCCCGTGTATACTAGCTAGTCGGCGTGTGTCTTCGCCGCTATTCAGGTCTTTCTCTCTGTCCCCACACAGTGTTTGCCCAATTTGTAAGCAGTCAGATGGGTGTGAACAGGCAGCTACACGAGATGGCCGGGGAGAATGTCAGATTCAAGGTGGCAAAAACTAACTCCAACTCCTTAATGATCTTAACCATAACTACATAGCATGAGTTTCATGTACACAACATATCCACATGATGTACGTAGTTAGTACAATACTTGCACTCCACAAGGGAACTTGTTATGAAGGGAGACTATGGGTCCTCCTAAATGGACACATGGTGATTTAGTTTATTTTACGTTTTTTATTGTCTACGCAGAACCAAAATGCTGCGACGGAGATAAAGTTGAAGCATGCTCAGTGAGTTCTTGTACAAAAATACTGAAACAAGTGTCACAAATACCCTAGTAAAAAAACTTTTCCTATTTCTCATCGTATATAGAAGATGGTGAAATGGTGAGTGCATGGCAAAATTTTACAATATTAGACTTTGTCTTAGTATTGGAGGCCCATGTGTTGTGTGTATTGTACATTGCACAGTCTGAAGCTGAAGGACGAGATGAACAAGAGGGTAGAGCAGGAGGAAGTCATGCATCACTATGTGAGTGCCGTAAGACATGTACGTGCTCTGTGTCATCCCCTCGTGAAGTGTCAGGTCCAACTGAAGACATTTGTTTCTCTAGTTTTGAGTTCAATTCTCTGATTGCCACTTGGTGTTCTTGGTCCTTTTGCGATATGCTGTTTCGGTGTTCTTGCTTTATATTCTCTATTTTCTGCACATAATTCTCCATTTGTTTCTCGTGCTCTCGTTTCAAGTCACCGACTGTTCGTTCCGGTTTATCTTTCTCTGCTTGTGCGTGCAGTTCGGCCACCTTACACTTTTCTTCGAGTATCAACCGCTTCAGTTTCTCTTCTTCTGTGTGCATTGTTTGAATCTTCAGCTCAAGTTTGTGCTTTTCAGCTATCAGGTGGAACTTCTCCTCGTTGAACTTGGCTTCCTCTTCCTTGAGCTGGCATTTCAAATGCTTTATCTTTTCTTCAAGCTCTGTCTTTACTTTGACGTTGCTCTCTTTTTCGTTCTGTAGCTCCTGCGTAAGATCACTCACCTTCGCCTTCAGTTGCTCGATTTGCTGCTCCTTCTCTTTAAGCTCCTTTTCCTTCTGTGCTAGCTCCTCCTCGTTCTGTTTTTTCTCAATGCCCATTTGTTTGAGCTGGTCCTCCAGCTTTTGCTCATTGTTGGTCTTTACTGCCAGCCGAGCCTGGAGATCTTGGTTGGTTTGTAGCAAGCTTTTCGTTTCAGGAAGAATTTGGGTGCTCCTATCACCCAGCATGCTTGGTGACTCTTCCACGTGTGGCTGGGTGTCTGCTATTGAATGCACTGGCTTTTCCGACGCTACGTCCAGGTTGTCATCGTGCTCTTGCTCAGCATACACCATTCCACCTGGCACCGCTTCGAACGAAATTCCTACACTAGGTTTCCGTTCCGCAAGCTTGTGTTGCGTCCGGTCGAACTCCGGACTCGTGTTACCGTTTTGTACCTGGCTCATGTCTTTAGCAACTCCCGAGTCATCTAGGCTGACAGGCTCGAGCTTCGGCGGGCGGTCTCCGTAACCATCACCTGGTATACGTTGCTCCGGCTCTCGAAATGGCACGTGGCTGTCCTGTACAGGGGGTGTTCAGTCGGTTTCCCACGTAGGAAAGCCGCCACTTCTCCCAACGAGTTCTCCTCCAGGAGCTGTGCGAACTCCTCGACCTTCGTGTCATCGGTTTTCGTGGCTTCCAAAATTTGATTCACCAGTTGCTCCGCCTTCTCTCTACCCGACTCCGACCCAGGAGCCACCGCTGCGCTCGCCTGTATGCTCCCTATCATTCCTCTATCCTTGGCTTTGACGATGAGCACGTTTGGATCGGCTCTACAAGTGACTAGCTTGTCCACTAGCTCCGTACGCACGTCAAGAAGAGCGTTGTAGCCTGGCCCAGCAGAAGTCATTTCGAATGTTGTGTGGGGCGCGGTCGTGTCACGTGAAATTCACGTGAACGAGGGGGCGTTGGAAACTGAGCTTTTACTTCTCACTGCTGCAGGCGAAGCAGTTCACGATAATCCAGGAGGTTCTGGGAGACACGAAGCTGAATGAACTCAGCGAGCAGGAGAGAAGGAGTCTGGCCTTCCTCAAGGAGGCCACCAGAAGATCCACTGGAGGAACACCACTGTATGTCGCTTATAGTTACGTATTACGTAGCTACTGCATTGATCTGTGCATGATCCAAAAAGTGGGGTATAGCACGATCAAAGGTTTTAGGGGGTGACTGTATGTGCATTGTCCCCTTGCCCTCTGCACAAGAGGTTTATGTTTAAGCATTTGGTTTGTGTGATTTTGGGAGAGGGGAGAGGTATATGGGAACAGCTATGCTAATTGTTCTGTCACTGCAGTAGGAACATCAGTGCAGTTGACTCAAGTGTGACGCTCTCCCCCTCTGAGGTGGACCCTGACATAGCTGATGTGGTGAGTCAAATGCTCTAGATACTAGAGGAATGTGGAGCGAAGCTAGGAGTTTTTAGAACATTGCTGTGAGTGCAGTGCCCGTCACATATAGATAATTCCTGCATTGAAACGACTAGGCAGGCTCGATTTGCTCGCCAATTAATGTTTTCCTCTTCCCTCCAAATACACAATTGTAGGATGTGTCAGTACTCCGCAGTGGAGCTAAGTGGGTTCGGGTAAGTTGCTACATAATGTGGTACCACTGTAATATACCCATTACGTAATGGTCCGTTCTCCGCTGCAGACTCTCAATCAGAGCACTGAGAGCAGGAAGAGAAGCAGTGTGAGTTGAATTGACCTGGAACTTTGATGTCACACTTTACGATTACATCAGAGCTAATTTTAGAAACATTGTAGCAATAGGGTGTAGAGCAAATAATCCTCAGGAATGACAGTGGAAACAAAAGATGGCTTAAGCATTTCGTACTTTTAGCAGGCAAGTGGTGGGAAAGACCAGCCAACCAACAACCCAATACACATTGCCTGTAACTGGAGCATGCAGTGCACATTTCATACCGTAGAAATAACTGTTTATAAAATATTGGGGTGAAACCCTTTAGCCACAGTCCGACACTCTCACTGCTTTCTGTTATGACGTCACCACAGGATGGAGAGGGAGATGAGCCGGCGCAGGCCACCAAGAGGTTCCGTTCGTCTCTCTCCCCGGCCTCAGAGGTGGAGAGAGTCCCCAGATTGGACCGGGAGTTCCGCAGACCTCCCCCTCCTCACCAGCACAAGAGGAGGAAACCATCTCGTGGCCATCTGACGGCCATGGACACTGCCTCCATCTACTCTGGTGAGAACTCTTCACTACTTATGTCGTACTTTATACAAAGTCTGTAGATTAGATTACCCCCAGAATGGTAATATTGAAAGCACCAGCGCTGACCAACAGTATAACTATTGACTACCGAATGTTTTTATCCCGTATTGATACAGGAAATGTGTTGAGACCTCCTGTGGTGGTGCACTCCACTTCTCCCTCTCCCTCCCCCCTCCCCTCCCCCTCTCCCTCTCCTCCTCCCATCCCTCTCCGCTCCCTCCCTCCTCCCCCTCCCTCCGAGTCAGAGGTGGACAGTGATGCACCGATCCCCTCTGCCCCTCCTCTCTCTCCTCACATATACCCCAGTCTTCCCTCAAAATCATCCTCTGATACCAGTGAGGCTCACTGACACTTACTCTACTGTACTGATCAAGTGACACTAATACTTACTCGACTGTACTGATCAAGAGACACTAATACCTACTCTGCTGATCAATTCATCAAGAGACACTAACACATACTCTACTGATCAATTGATAAAGAGACACTAACACATATATACTCTACTGATCAATTGATCAAGACACTAACACATACTCTATTGATCAATTGATCAAGAGATACTAACACATACTCAATTGATCAAGAGACACTAACACATACTCTACTGATCAATTGATCAAGAGACACTCACACATACTCAATTGATCAAGTGACACTAACACATACTCTACTGATCAATCGATCAAGAGACACTAATACTTACTCTACTGTACAATTGACTTACTGTGTTTACTGTATATTAATATGCGGATATTACTCTGCATTGGTAATTTGTGTGTTGTTAAAACTCTAAGGGTGTATTATCTATAGCTAGTAGTTTCTGTACACCTTTACCTTTGCTCTCTCTCTCTCTAATATTCTTGTTCTGTCATCCATGTATTACCCTCCTCAGCTCCAAAGAAGGAAGGATCAGGGATCGTCAGTGAGGTGGAGCCCAGTGCCCCGTCCAGACCCTCTCCCTCCCCCACCGTCTGTTCTCAGACCAGTCAGCACACCACCGGCCAGGCCCACATGCAGAGGGTGAGACTTCCACCTACATACAATTCCTACCATTACATTCACCTGTACAATATTGCTGTGAGAAACATGGTCAAATGTGTAATTATACGCTTCGGTATAGAGGTTGCATGGTGCAAGGAATGCACCTAATGGAGCTATATTTCCTCAGAACCACACATTCTTCACCAAGACACTGATGAGGATTGAGACATGTCAAGTGGTGAGTAGAACAGATCGTGATCTGACTATACATGTATGTAACGACTCTCTCACTCGTAGTGCAACAAGAAGATAAGGTTCGGTCGCAACTGCCTCAAGTGCAGAGGTAAAAGACTGTTCACATTTGACTGGATTTAGCAGTCCCTCATTGATCTCCCTCCCTCTCTCCCTCCCTCCCTCCCTCCCTCCCTCCCTCTCTCCATCAAGACTGTCGCTCCCTCTGTCATCCTGAGTGTAAGGAGAAGGTCCCTCTCCCGTGTGTTCCATCAGTACCCACTCCCAAGAAGATGCAGGTGTATATAATAGTTGAGCCACTAGGGTCTTGAAAAACCTGGTAGACGTGTCACTTTGTTACCTCACCCTGTAACTATGTATGTATGTACATTACATTAACTCATTGCCTCCCTGCTGCGTGTGTGTGTCAGGATGCAGGCCTGGCGTCGTTCTGTCCCAGCACCATCCCCAGAGTCCCGGCCATCCTGGTCCACTGTGTCACTGAGATAGAGAGACGAGGGCTCACTGACGTCGGCATCTACAGGGTCCCTGGGTACGTCACCATAGCATATGTGTAGTTATATTGTAGAGCAGGGAACTTAGGGAGTGAAAACTTTGGCCGTGAATATTGTTTAGCCCTATGTTGGTGGGGACATTTTTATTGAAGCGGTTGTGTTTTCTGCTGATCAACAAATGGTTTTCCCCCGCAAACCCTCTCTACACTACTAGCATACTTCTCTCTACTAGTGGTACAGCTTTTATTGTGTATTATGTGCAGATCAGAGAAAGTGAAGAAGGAGCTGAAGGAACGATTGCTCAAAGTCAGAGGACAAGCTGCTCTGGACAAAGTCAGTCATCAAACTGCACACTACACCTTGCCCTCTCTAGCTAGGAGCCCTGGGTGTTTGGCTTACTGGGTTTTTACGATAATTGCCAACTGTACTCCGCAATAGTTATGGCAGTGTGAAGTGCTGTGATAGCAAATTGTAACAGTTAATTAATTGTTGAGCCCCTACCTAGAGACTTTGCCACTATGTCTGTATGCATGTCTGGTATTCCTACCCCTGCATGTATACACAGGTGAGTGATGTGAATGTGATATGTGGAGTGGTGAAGGATTTCCTGACTCATCTCCGGGAGCCTGTCCTCACCTTCAGACTGCACAACACCTTCATGGCTGCCATCGGTAACGTTTCACTTCTTTAAAAATAAAAAAATCTTTAATGGGGCAAAATACTAAGCGTTGAAAAACCTTTATGTGTGGGGGAAGAAGAATGAAGTTCATTACACTGAGGGGGATTACTTCATCTTTAGGGCAATACTTGTGTGTAATCAAGGAAGAAAGGGTTGGCCCCTTACCAAATACCAGTGGGTGCAGCTCTATTCTAGAATAGGCAAGGAGGTATCTCTAATGCATAGGGACACCTTTCTCTACCCACAAACAGCTCTTCAGGTCATGTGTGCACAAAAATATTACATTATTATGTCTACTCCACCATTGATTGTCGTCACAATAGATGCTGGTTCAGGTGAGGATGTGTTGGCTGGTCTACTGGAAGCCATAGCAGAGCTACCTCCGTGCAACAAAGACACTCTCGCATACCTTATCCTCCACATTCAAAAGTCAGCATTCAATTATATAGCACTTTTGGCGAGCGAATGATAGTAGTTCAATTTTCCGCAGACGTATTTGGATTTTATCTTATAACTGGTGTGCCTGATATCTTTTCATCTTCCTCCTCCTCCTCCCTCCTCCTCCTCCTCCTCCTCAGAGTGGCGTCGTTCTCAGAGGCCAACAAGATGCCTCTGGAGAGTCTGGCCAAGATCTTCGGTCCCACTCTAGTCGGCCACGCCTCTGCAAAACCTGACCCTTCAGTCCAGTGGAAGGATGCGGAGAAACAACCAAAGGTATAAATTATTCTATCATGACATTGTAGCTTAGTGTGTCTTTGCTGTGTAATGGATCCCTTGTTTCTTCCTTTTCGACGAATCCCTCTATATCCCATCCATTATAATTATATACTTTGAGTCCAGGCAAGCTTTTCAAAAGCTAGTTGGTGTATTTTTGTGAACTTGACTCAGCCGGTTGACTGGGTTGACTGGGCAATTCTTTGTTGGACATGATGTAATCAATAAAGCATGCAGTATATACCTCCTCTGGCACTACAGTTTGTGCAAATGCGTGAAAGTACTGTATATGAATGGCGTGCACATAATATGTAATACACTTGTATTTACTTGATTATGACATGCAAATACTTATGCACTACACTTCTGGGTGCTGTGAGTGATTCCACCCTTTGTTGTTGCCTTTCCATGGCCTTGAAAAAAAACTTGTGTGTAGTACGAAAGAAATGTTTTCAAAATCGCCTGTGGTGTTGTGTAGGTGGTGCAGCGGCTGTTGAACATCACCCCAGACTACTGGAGGCAGTACCTGTCTCCCATGGAGAACCCTGAGCCCATATCGTCTCCCAAGCTCGGCTCGGCTCAGACCTCTCCTGCTCCTGCCTTCACCTCTCCCGCCACTCCCGAACAGAGACCTGGTATATACTGTACATTGTATGTACATACCCTTCATCTGCTGCATACTGTTGGTTATGTATATCAGACCTTCATTCAGGGGGATATAATTTGTGGAAAAGAGTGTGAGGGGCTATATGACCCTGTGGGCATATAGACCCCTCTCTGTAATATTTATCGTGGTGTGTATTGTTACTTTGACTGTTTTCTGAATGCTTACAAGTGGACATTTGGAATGTGGACGCTACATCTTTGTGTTTCTTATTTGGGGTATTGCTACAACGGCCATCAACGAAATATCGGATCAGCCATAAAACTTGTCATAACATTTTTTGAGCTGTAAAATCAGAAATCCTTTGAAACTGAAGTTGATGCTCTTTCTTTCCTGTTATGTGGGGGTCTCTGTGTCCACTGCAGTTCCAGAGAGTCCGTTCCTTGGGGTCCTGCCACCAGTCTCCACGCTCTCGCAGAGCTGCTGCCAGTCGGTGAGTCCCCTATAATTATAGCGAGGGCCCTGTGTAGAGCTGTGCGTAGGCTATTTGAGAGCGAAACTCCTCATAACTCTGAGTTACTGTACCTGCCCAAGGTTGTGGGTAGGATATTTTGGTCTGGAACTTTCACGTTTTTCTGTAGACAAAACCATACAACTTATGAAAAGGATAGAGTGTCGCTGGAATACACGGATGGTGTTGCCAATTTCATCTTTTTTGTTTCTAAGTGCATTTGGGGAAATCTTCTCTTTGCATTTCGCAATAGCATCTGCTAGTTACACACAAGTTAAAGTTATACGGTTCATAGAAATGCTGCATCAGCTCCCTTTCATTAATGCATACTGTAGCGTACTAATCCGGTGAAATGTCCTTCATGTCTCTGAGAAAGGCCTAAATGGGATAATTATAAATTGTATGCTTCACTTGGTCGCTATGTTACTTTATGCAGTGGTGGAACAACTCCTGGCTTCTCCCAGAGAAGAAATGGCAACTTTTTCCCATCTCTCAACTAAGACTATAATACCTCTACACAAACTGAAGACTTATCTTATATATACATGGCACCCTTGTAATATTTTATCCTCCATCTTTTGTCACATTGTTTTGCATTTACTCACTATTGTTTAAACCTGTGGTTGAAAAAAGTGGCGACACTACGACACTCTGTAGTAACGTAACTGATACATCCCATTCCTGTGTTTTTGTTTCTGAGCTGCAGAGGCTAGCTTGTGTAACGTAATAACCACAGGATTGCATAACTTGTGGTAACACCATCTGATTGCATAACTTTTGGTAAGTTATAGCAAGGCCAGTGTCATAATCTTAGAGACAAGTGAATAATACCACGGCAAACTACCAGACCTTGTATAGCCAACTGTGCTAAACAATGACAATGAGCCATGCAACTGACTGAAACTGGGAGGCGGTGTGCATCTGTGATATTGCCCACATCGACATGATGTATGATTACACATCTGTATGCAATTCTGCTGGCATGAAGGGTGAATATTCATATTTAGACTACGGTAACACGCAATTGACCAATCAGATTGCGAGTTTAGCGGTGACTATTTTTGTTAGTGACCTCTTCCGCGGTATCTATTCGTAGCCCCGGCAACCACGCCTTCAATTCGAAAAGACGCCACGCGCGCGGGCGGTGAACCGAGCTTCTGGAGGGGTTCTTCCCACGAAGAAACCAGAAACAGGCTCTTCTAGCAGCAGCGCATGACTACTAGAGAGCTAGGAAGACGCTAGAGAAAGCGTACAGGGAAAAACGCGTACAAACGGCTGGCCGGCGCGATCCCGAAGGCAGCAACGCCTACAACGGACACTGCAGCGGGACGGACTTGCGCTGTAGTCTAAGCCGGTTAGTTGCGTCGCCTTGGGAAACTACGCGATTTAGTGAGCCTCGGAGCCCTTAGTAGCGCCCTCGCTGCGCTCGGGACGCCGACAGCTCAGGGCTCCTCGGCTCACTAAATCGCGTAGTTCCCGCGGCTCAGCATCTAACCTATACATAGCCATTTAAGAATAAACCAGTAATTCCTATGATCAAAAGAGTCCTCCGAGACAATAAGCATTGAGGATAACCCCAGATGTTAAGGTATGCAATGCACAACCAAGGCTTCTTGAACCTGGAGTCTCCTTGAATTGTGAGAGCAATTTGGCTCTCTAAGGCAATGCTTTGATGTACATTTTTGTTTGTTAAAACACCATCCTTGCGGAGGCACAAGAAGTCACCACGAAGGCCCTCCCGCATCGGCATGCTATCTTATAGTGTAACTAGCCCGTGCCGCTACCAACTAGCGTAGAGACCACGAGTAATCTTATAGCCCAGCCCAGCCTATTTAGCGGTTACGCGCATGCGCAGTTCGCCGAGGGTTTGCAATGAACCTCCCCCCCCCCTTTAGCTAATTTTCCTCTCCAGTGATTAGAGGCTAAAATTCTTGGATGGTCTGTGGGCCATGGCGGGGATTGAGAAGCACCCTGAAACGAACTTCGTAGAGCTTTATCGAGATATCAGTGCATCCGAGTACATGGAATTCAAGCTAAACAACCCCGACTTCGAATTTCAACGGGAAAATGCGCTTCGTTGCTGCTACGAAGGGCTCCAGTCGCTGCCCAACGGACTGAGAGTCTTGGACTACGGATCCGGAGCCTCTCTCCACGAGACGGTACTCACTGCCGCAAAGGCCTCGGAAATAGTTCTCTCCGACTACTCCCCTAAAAATCGAGAGGCCCTTCGTCTGTGGTTGAACGGCGATCCAGCGGCGTTCGATTGGATACCGCACTTTCGACGTACGTTGCGAGAAATCGAGGAAGGAGGAGAGAAGGAATTGTCGCATAGAGTGGAAACGATACGACGTGTGGCGAAAGCCGTCGTCCACTGCGATCTATCTCAAGACCCGCCCATCCAGAGGGGCTACGACGTTCAATACGACCTGATATACAGCTCATTTTGCCTGTGTGCCGCAGCTAACTCCCACGAGGAATACCGACAGGGGATAAACAAACTCGCAAAATTACTCAAACCCGGAGGAGTTCTTATGATGTACGAATCGGAGCACAAGGAATGCCAGCAGTCTTTCTACTACATCAAAAGCAGCAAGTTTCCGTACGTGGCTGTAACCAGTGAATTTGTGGCGGGAGCATTTCGTGATGCTGGTTTTGTTGCCGTGTCTGTACGCTCGGTGGAAATGGATCCCAACCATTCGTTTAGAGTCCAGAGGCCTGAAAGAATTGGGTACTTTCACATTCAAGGCATCAAAGCATGATGTTTCAATGTTTATCACATCTGGAATGTGCTTGAGTGCCGACTGAAACTGGCCTCAACTTATACACAAACCTATAAACAAACGTTAGTAGTCATGCATATCTTTGCTATAGTTTTGTGAAGAAGCCTCATGATTATGTGACACCTAGCTAATTGTGAGGAGAGGCAGAGTGACAGAGAGAAACAAAGAAATATTGCACAATTATTGTTCACTATTTCGCTAACCTTTTCCAAAAGGGTGTCATTGTAAACGATTAAATGTAGGAACGTCAGTGCAAGAACAGACAAGCAAACCATCAGTACTACCTGCACCTAGCTTCACCAATTTGCCTCGTTTTCATTGTCCCTCTGCCAACTCCAGTCTCTAATGAGGGTGTCAATTTTTTTAGTATAATTATACAGCAGTTAAACATGAACATACACTTTCTTTCTGCACCTCTCTCTACCTAGCTTCCAATCCAATTAAGGGTGTTAACAATTTTGCAATTTTTGTAGGAACATCAGTGCAATAAGAGACAAGCCAACCATGCCTATTCTTTTTACTATCATTGGAGTATGGAATAGTAATGTAAACCTGCTCTCTGCTCCTCTCCCTATCTATATTCACAAATCTTTATTTCACCTCTATTTTGCCATCCCCTACTTCCCAACCGCCAAATATAGGTGTCAACGATTTTGCAATTATTGTCAGTGTAATAAGAGACAAGCCAACCACGCCTACTCTTTTTACTATCTTTGGTATATGGAATAGTAGGTGTAATAATTGCTTTCTGCACCTCTCCCCATCCATCTTCAGCAATCCTTCTTTCACTTCTATTTGGCCGTCCCCTACATCATAAGACGATTAAGCAATTTTTAATGTTCAAGAAGATACAAGCCAACCATGCCTAATGTTTACTATCATTGAGTATGGGATAGTTTACTTTTTGCACCTCTCCCTATCTAGCTTCACCAATCCCTCTTCCGCCTCTATTTAATGACTGTCCTCCCACCTCTACTAAAGACGTATGTACTCTATCTTTCTGCATCTATGACCAATCTTTGCCTCTATTTTACTGTCCTCTACTGCTCTACCCCCAACATTAATAGTGAGGTGGCAATGAACGTACACGATCTGGATGCGCGGGGCGCTATATTTTCGCGCATACGCAAGAGGCAAGCAATCGAAGGACGGGTAATGGAAGCGAGAATGGAAGTTGCAATCTGTGTATCCGTCTTTGTGGCGGCTCTTGGTTCCCGTATACCCACCGAAGCTGCAACTACGTTCTGTGTTGCGCCGTCCGAGACGGTCGTGATCCACCGTAACGCCGAGTTTCAATGGAACGACTGCAGCAGCAGCATTGCCTTGAAAACAAGACGTGGAACGAGTATTTAGCTGACCAGCAGCGCTATTTTAGTGGCGTATCTGATGTTACGTTCATTTTCTACCCTGGAACGCACTTCATGAACCGTTCACTGGAGGCAAATGGTACTAAAAACCTACTGATTACAGGAACCTCTCCTGATGCCGTGGTCCTTACTAATTCTCTTCCAACAAAAGACCTGATGGTCTTTACTTACTTTTCAGGTATTGCCGTTGAAGGTATTACAATGGAATTATGTGTCTCTAACACTGTGGTTAACTTTAGTCATGGAGAAAATGCAAGCATGCAGAATATAGTGCTGAATAACACCTGTGACAATTACATAACAGAAATTCTTGCAGAATGGGTTGAAAATATAACTTTGTCTCATGTAATGTCCAAAGCACATGATTGGTGCAGGAGTACTATATACTTTAAATGTAATGTTTCAGGCACCATAAATTTAATGCATTCAAAATTTATGAAAATAACCTTTGGAAATTCACTTATGGAAAAGCCAGTTGTTATCATAGAGAGTTGCAACTTCACTGATTGTGATCCAGCTGTATTTATCACAAGGTTTGTGAGTACTTTAGTCATGAAAAACGTGATTAGTTTTGGAGATGTTTGTGTCTCCTGCTATGGTGCTGATGATACTGGGTTAATTTACATCGTTGATTCTAACTTTTACAGGCTTTCAACCACCAATGCTGCAATGATTATTAAAAACTCTGTGTTCCAGCCTATGCTGCCACTTGTTCGCTTTAGGAACCCTAGTGGTTTAGTGGTCTCCTCCAGCAGTGTTTCTTTGTTTAACGTAACATTTACACACAATGGAATTGATGACTCTTCAGCGCTCTCTGTTCAGTATTCATCACTCCTTTTGTGCAACTGCAACTTCACAATATTGGTCATGCACTATCTTCTTATAGTAGCAATCTCTCGTTTATTGGCACCAGTGTTTTTAAAGAGAATGAGGGTTACAAAGGAGCTGCAATGTATATAAATCAACAAACTTTAATAGAATATTCACATGGCACCATTATATTTCGGTCAAACGTAGCATACAACAATGGAGGTGCAATTTATATTACACAGCCATCTAACGATGTATGTCCATTCAGCTCACCATCTAAATTTGTTTCCAAGCAATTGATATTTCAAGAAAATTTCGCAATATCCGGAGGAAATGACTTATTTGGAGGGAGTATTGACCAGTAGAAGAGAACTCAAACATAGTGGAAGTGTTTGGATAGGAAACAATGGTGACGACAATGGTAACAATAGTGTGTATTATAGTAAGGATTGTCCTTACAACTACTGCGAACCAAAAGAGGTGAACATATTCGATCGTCCTGCACAAGCACAATGCCAATGGGGCCACACAGGAAGACTCTGTGGAGAGTGTCCAAAAGGAATGAGCTTCACTCTTGGTGCATCAAAATGCAGACAATGTTCCAACAACTACCTTGGTCTACTTGCCGTCTTTGCAGTTGGTGGAGTTGCTCTTGTGACATTTCTCAAAGTTACAGACTTGATTACGGCTGGTGGATTGATCAATGGACTTATTCTCTACGCTAATCTTGTGAAGGCAGGTTCCTACATATACTTTCCTTATTCTTCAAGTTTAACTTACCTCCAACCCTTCCAAGTGTTCATTGATTGGCTCAATTTGGATCTCGGAATAGAGGTGTGTTTTTTTGACGGACTTGATGGCTACTGGAAGATGTGGTTGCAGTTTGTGTTTCCTCTCTACCTGTGGGCCATATCACTGACAATGATTCTCTTGGCTAGATACAGCTTCAGGATGGCACGTCTTCTTGGGAACAACTCCGTCCCTGTTCTTGCAACTCTCTTCACTCTCTCCTATGCCAAGATATTCCGTGTCATAATCACGGCAATGAAATTTACCATCTTGGAAGATATGCATGGCCATAAGTTTGCAGTATGGTCATATGACGGTAGTATCAATTATTTTAACGTGGAGCACTCTATCTTATTCATAGCAGCAGCTCTAGTACTGCTATTCCTATGGTTACCCTACACATGTGTACTACTGTTTGCACAATGTCTTCAACTTTGTCGTCGTGTACAGAAGATCTCAAGACTTGTGTCCAAGATGCAACCTCTCCTTGACGCTCACTGTGGCCCGTTCAAAGACAAGCATCGCTACTGGTTTGGACTCCTGCTAGTGGTTCGAGCCGTTCCCTGCTGGTTGGTGTCCTCAGCTCCACCAACAGTGACCAGAACACCGTCCTCTCAACCATCATTGTAGTAGCAGTTCTGTTTATTCTACTGTTTGTACTACAAACCTGGGTCTACAGAGCCTTTTATGTCTCTCTCTCGGAGTCGTTGTTTCTTTTGAACCTCTTGGTTCTAGCTTGCTCCAGTTGGTTTGGGTCAAGAAACCACCAGGAGATAGTTACGGCTCTGTTTATTGGGACTTCATTCCTACACTTTGCCGCGATTGTTATAATCAGCACTGCTAACAACATCAAGAGAGTCGGCTACGAAAGGAGATGGATTCCGCTTGTCGCAAAGGCCGAAAATGGCGATGATATGGATAACCTTAGCTACCGCAGAAGTCCGCCTTTGTCAGACACAGAGTCTGAACCTCTGACTGATTCTGAGAGTGACTAATAGTATCATCATTATGAGTGTCAGTGTTATTTGATTAATGTGTGTAATCTGGTGAATGACTTATTATACAATGTGATACTTTTGCTTCATTGAATGTCATGGTTTCATATTTATAATCTATGCTGATGAGAGTATTTAACTTTGTTTTCCTTGTAGCATGTGCTCATTTAGTAATCTTATTGACTCTTGAGATCCTGTAGAAATTTTGCATGTAGCTATAATCTTTACGACTCTGTAATGACACTCACCACAGTAGGTAGCGAAATCCACAGGCAAGCAATTTGCACATCCAACCATAGTTACATCAGCACCTATATAAGTGTGCAATCTTAATGGTTGAATCAGAAAGTAATTGGATGTAGGTGTCCTCCTGGCATGATATTGTAATACTTACACGGACCAGGGTCATACAAATTAGTTTACCATACTGCAGTAGTAGTGACAGTAGATCAGGTCTTCCATAGAGGGCAGCAATTGAGAGTGGCGAGTCACCATTGCTGTTCTGGGCATTCACTTCAACTCCTCTGCATGCTAACAGGTCCAATATTGTAGGGTCTGCCCCCTTCACAGTGCAGCAGGCATATGTGGCTAAAATGAGGGGAGCGTCCCCCTCAGACGATACAGAATTGATATCAGCTCCTAACATAAAGGGAATAATTACACAAGTTTGTGGCAGTATAATAAAGGAGCTAAATACGGAAATTCTTCTATCGTCTAAATTTAGCCATTATGAGTTACCTTTGGAGAGAAGATACTCCATTACTTTCCTTTCACCACTTAGACATGAACACTGCATATATATATAGAGCGCAGTCACTAGGTGTTTTGTGGTATAGGCAGTTTCACTGAAGTGTATATAATTATGTATAAGGGTGAAAAACCACAAAACACAACGTTCACATTCCAGCCATATAGGTCCCTTTTCCCATGCCCCCTCACATATACAGGTATATACATGCTATAATACCAGGAAGAGCGTTAGTCCAGATCCTTGCTCCCTTCGAGAATTCCAACTTTTCTGCCACCTTTTAGTCATCACTCCCACCAGTTTATCCCTGTGCTTCCTCTTGTACGCTGTCTGTAGATACAATGATTCTTGATTTAGTCCATGTAATATCACCGCACTTTACCTTTGCCAAACTGAAAAGTATGCCCAGTGCATTTGGTTCATTGAAACCTAGAATAGATTTTTATTAGTAAACTTTATTAATTTTTCATTACTCAAGGCCACCAACCAGCATTCCTGCGGCGAAAGTGTAGAGTCAGAACTAGCAGAGCTACGGAGGCTAGTAGCAGGAATGCCCACTGGCCAAACAGCCACTCCACAGCTCCTCTGGCAGAGTCTTTCACTACTGATAGGTCTTGCAGCTTTTCGCTTATGTCTTGAAAGAGCATCCATAGCTCTTCGCCTGCCATTTTCGTTGAACGCCGCGCGCAGTGATTGAATTTCCCGCGTAATCAGCGGCGCGCTCTCGATATTGTGCGCATGCGCTTTATAGTGCCTGTATATTTCCATTTAGCGCGCCGCTCCCTCTCTGGAAAAGGGACCTCGGGAACACTAGTAGCAAGCGGACACCAGCCATAAAAGCTACTCAGTAGGGGAGTATTCGTGGAATAAATTTCAGCTGTAATCCTGCCCTCAACTGGAAGACTGTGAGTGCTGCACTCCTAACTGATCGATCCCAGCCCTCTGTTAACTAGTCCTCAAGATGTCGTCATCTGTGTCTCTGCCAACGTCACTAACGTTTAGAGAGCTCCTGGCCACGTCTGTTACTGGTGCAGTGGTCTTCCCAGCTGTTCTGGGGCTCGGGCAGGTTGCAGTGTTCAAGCCTCTCCGTCTCACTCACAGCAGTCCGCTTGCCTCAGTGTGCGGCTGTGTATCCGTCCTGGCAGCCGGTTGTGCGGCCTCGGCAGCTGCAGTCCAGGTCATATCTCTCTCACGTCGCTGGCAGAGCATCTCAGACACTACACAGGCCCCTGCAAGCAGCGCTAATAGCTCAGTAGATTTCGGAGCTCAGGAACTGCTGGTGTCAACTGTCGCTAGTACAGTTCTGTTTCGAGCACTCGGCGGTCGGTTTTCCTCTGTTCTCCCAAGTCATCTCCTGCGACCGGGAGCGTTTGCCAGGGAGTGGATCCCCGTACGAGCGACGCAGGCCACAGAGAGACAACGAACCATCGTTCGAGAGTTAGGTAGACGCCACGGATGCCACTCTTGTGGTACACGCAGTGTCAAACAGTTCCATGCTGATCACCAACCGCCCACCAAGCTCCACAACAACGGGGGGAAAACTCCCGGGAATAACGGAACAGGATCGCAGAGACTGTACCCACAGTGTAACAAGTGTAGCAGTGTGCAGGGAGCCACTCTGGCACATAGTGGAGCAGCAGCTAAGAGCAAGTGGAGTGTCATACGAACTCACCCTCTGAGCCTGAGAAGCTACCACCTTTTTCTACCGGTACCTCTAGCCGTGGCGTACTTGAAGAGATCCGGAGGTTTGGTTACGCAATCCAACACCTCGCCTCTCAGTGCGTCTTCGAAGGCAGTTTCAGAGAGGGGAGATGGGACAAAAGAAGCAGAGAGAGGGGGGAGGGAGAGAGAGGCAGAACAAAAGCGGACTGTGTCAAGAGAAGTCGCTCGACCTCAGACGGGACTCCATGCCCTGTTTGGGGATTCAAACCTCCCCAATCTGATCAGGGACTTCCCCCTGTTGATTATCTGGAACAGGCTAGTGTACTTCCTGGACTCGTTTCGAAATGCTGGCGACGCCTTCCACATTACACTTCTGGCCTTTTCTGTTGTAGCAGCACTCGGCACCATCTGAAGCATCATCACTTTGTAGTTCATTTTCTCGCTGTAATAATAAATATCTGGACAAAAATTTGCTGGATTGGCTAGCAACAATGTGCGTCTGTTGAAATACAGTTCTACAAACTATAGCCTTCATGGCAAATGCTGATTTGGACTGTTTTGCCTTGTGATTAATAATGATTATTGCAGGGACATGCATGATAAATAGATCGGTTGGGGGTGATGATAATTACTCCGTGACTCTGTTTTTGACTGGATAATGAGGTGAAGGTGCGTCATGATGTGCACTGGTGAACCGTGGGGAGGGTGAAATAGTTTTGTGGGTGATGAGGGTATGCGGACTCGGGTTGTTGATGATGAGGAGGCAAGTAGGGGAGGTTAGGTGGCCTAGTCTTCACCGGTCTACTCTCAGATGGAGCATTCTCTCCCGTCCCCATTTCTGTCTCTTTCTCTCCTTCTTCTTCCTCTGTTACTTCCTCTGGCCCCAGTGAACACTTTTCCACCACCTCCAGAGCTAGGGAGCTGACACTGGTAGAGGTGACGGTAGAGGAGACTACTGATGGACTAGAGCTGGAGTCCCGAGAGTCCTCTGTGACTCTCTCTCTCTCTTCCCTCTTCTCCTCACTCTCTGGCTCAGTAGTGTCCGCTACTGCCAGCTCTTTCTGAGGTGATGTAGTACTGTCTGGAGCCTGTCGTTTAGAAAGATATATACACAGACTTAGTTTTTACACAGGCTTATGAACAGATTTTTGTTGACAGCAAAATTCTATTAGTAGTCATCAAACTCAACCCTTACAGACCCTCTCTCCGTGCATGTTCGTACGCACGTGGTGGGGGCCGCACATGGAGTGAGGGTCTAACCAGACCTGCACTTGATTGTGTTTTGCTGAAATGATATTGCGTAAACTGGGCAGACCTAGCATCGTTTCCAGGCTTCTGAAGGAAAGAAGGGGAGGCCTTGTATATACTTACTGGGTGTGTATCTGTGCACATGTGCCAAACACTTCCGATATCTTATGGTATAACAAAACATCATCACCGAGTTTATGGTAGACACATGTACAGTCTATGCTGTTCAGGGCTTTTTACGTGTAAATTAACCCTACCTCTTACATGTTCTTATAACGGTTCCTTGAGAAAAGGGAAGTGTTCCCCCTTTGAATACACCACACAAAAGGTGCTTGTTTTTATGCTAGTACCAGAAAAATGTGGTCGTCTCTGTGTGACTTGATCTGCTGTGGTGGAGGCGGAAGGTGGGGAGGGTGGGAATGGGGAGGGGGAGGAGGGAGAGGTGGGGCCAGGAGGGGAGTTGGCAACTCGACGAGGTCACAGTAGAGGGCCAGTGGAGGCTCGGAGGGAGGAGGCAGATGAGTCATCGGGGGTGCGGCAGGAAGGGCCTGGTAATAGGTTGATGTGACTGCACCTACTGGAGACTGTTGAG